GTGCCACTGCACTCTAGCGTGGGCTACAGAGTGAGACTCCATCTCACACACACTAAAACAAGAAATGAAAACAACAATTTGTACATGAGTTCAAAACAGAATTATTTATTTATTCCCCAAACTAGAAACAATCCAAATATCTATCAACAAATGGATAAGCAAATGATGATATAATTGCATTATGGAATACCACTCAGCAATGAAAAGGAACCAACCACTCACACCTACAACAGCACCGATGAGCCTCAGAAACGTCACGCTAAGTGAAAGAAGCCAGACCAAAAAATTACATGCTATTCCATTTCTATGAAATTTCGGGAAGAGGCAAAACCATGCAAAGTAGATCAGAGGTTGGTTGGGGGTGAGAGCAAAGACTGACTACAAATAGGCCCAAGGGAACATTTTGGGGTGATGGGAGTTTCTAAAAGTGGATTATGGTGATGGCCACACAACAGTACAAAGATCATCCAAATGTATTCTTACAACGTTTGAATTGTATGACATGTAAATTATCTCATTAAATCTGTATTTTTAAAAAAGAACTGTGCTGTGAAGTCTGACATATTTTAAAGTAGGATGTCTTAGCCAGGCGTGGTGTTGCGTGCCTGTAGTCCTAACTACTCAGGAAGTTGAGGCTAGAAGACTGCTCGACCTCAGGAGTTCAAGGTTGCAGTAAGCTATGATCATGCCACTGCACTCCACCCTGGGCAACAGAGCAAAGACCCTGTCTTTAAAAAAATTAAAAACTTACTGGGCACAGTGGCTCACACCTCTAATCCCAGCACTTTGGGAGACTGAGGCAGGTGGATCACTTGAGGTCAGGAGTTCGAGACCAGCCTGGCCAACGTGGTGAAACCCTGTCTCTACGAAAAATAAAAAAATTAGCTGGGTATGGTAACATGTGCCTGTAGTCCCAGCTACTAGGGAGGCTGAAGCAGGAGACTCGCTTGAACCTGGGAGGTGGAGGTTGCAGTGAGCCGAGATCACGCCACTGCCCTCCAGCCTGGAGACAGAGCGAGACTCCATCTCAGCAACAACAAAAAAAGCCGGGCATGGTGGCTCATGCCTGTAATCTCAGCACTCTGAGAGGCCGAGACGGGCGGATCACGAGGTCAGGAGTTTCAGACTAGCCTGGCCAAGATGGTGAAACCCCGTCTCTACTAAAAATACAAAAATTAGCTGGGCGTGGTGGAAGGCGCCTGTAATCCCAGCTACTTGGGTGGCTGAGGCAGGAAAATTGCTTGAACCCGGGAGGCGGAGGTTGTAGTGAGCTGAGATCACACCACTGCACTCCAGCCCGGGCAATAGTGCGAGACTCCGTCTCAAAAAAAAAAAAAAAAAAAAAAAAATCTAAAACTCAAACTTTTGAATAACAATTTCCTCCTAGCAAGAAGGGACTCAGTAAGATGCATAGCGCTGCTTGGCCACTTTGCAAATATCTTTAATGTCTGGCTTAAGATGGCTGGATTTTCATATCTGCCTCTGCATTTAACCCGGTCCATCTCGCGGGTCACATAGCCTCTGCAAAATGCGAAGGGGTTCAGTGCCATTATCTCCGGGCCTGGGTAAAAGACTCAAGTCCTGGCCCCATCATACGCCCACCAATACATACCACGCCTGCGCTGTCTGCGCCTGGGTCTCTTCACCCGCAGTGAGCGGTCGCACGGCCCCACATCAGGATCGCCCTGAGGCTCAGCCTTTCCTGGCCCCATTCCGAGTGCGTACAGGACAGAACCAGCACGCCAGGCCCCTGCCCCAGAGCAGAGGGCCACGATGCGGACCCGCACAGTGCACCGCAGTGACCTGAGGAAGGAGCGACGGACGCTGGCGCCAAAGGAGTCCGAGTGCCTGGTAAACTGTAAAGCGCAGTCCTGCGTGAGTTGCTATAGCTACGGCTGCGCCAGACGGACAGCTTGCAGGACCGAGGTGCAGGTGGGAGGAGCGGAAAGCTCTGCGCGTGGGCGGGGAGCCCCGACCCTCGCCGGGGCCACGTCAATCTAGGTGCTCGGCGCTCTACTGATCCGGCCCCCGGGAGTGGGCGGGCACGTTTGCCTCGGATGGTCTAACAGGCGTTGGAGAGAGCCAGTGGCGTGGCTCACAGCTCCACCCCTTCTATTCGATTGGCCGGCGCCGAGAAGCCGGGCGTGAGGGCCGCAGCCTCTGGAGGGAGCCGCAGCGGGTCTCTCACTCACTCGCCCTCCGCGCTTCCCGGCTCTTCGGTTCTGCTCTGTCCGCCGCCATGGCCCAGTGAGTGACTCGCCAGGCGCAGCCGGGCTCGGCCTCAGCGGGCGGGGAACTTTTTGGGGGTCGGGATCTCCCTCGTTCTCTCCGACGCCTCCCATCCTGGAGGTCGCCTGAGCTCATTTGGGGTTCTGGGACCCTCGTCCTGCGGCGTCTCGGGCCCGGAGCTCCTTCCCTGCGGGCCCGGCCCCCTGCTCTCTTGGCCGCGCAGGCTCGGGGCGGGGCGGGTCCTTTCGACGGCCAGGGAGGAGGCGCGGCCAGGCCTCGCCGAGTCTGCAGGGACACCTGCGGAACGCGTGCCAGCCGGAGCCGGGCGCGAGGGCGGGGCTGGGGGCCGCCTGCCCAGCAGAGGCTCTGCAGCTTGCGCGCCCGGCTTCGGGGGGCCCCGGAGGCGCGGAGGAAAGTGCAAACTCCCACTCACGGCCAAACGGGGAGAACCGGGCCCCTGGATTTCAGCGCGTCGAGCAGCGCTGACTCTTTCCTTTGTTCTGTTTCTGCCTCTCCAGAGCTGACATCGCGCTGATCGGATTGGCCGTCATGGGCCAGAACTTAATTCTGAACATGAATGACCATGGCTTTGTGGTAAGCCGCGCGGGCGCATTGTCTTCTCTTTGGTTCCCGGGCTAAGAGGCCGGCGATGGGTCTGGGAGCTCACGGGTCTCCTGGCCGTGCTTTGCGAATGCGCTCTGCTGCTGCTCATGTCTTTTTGTATGGAAAGGAGAAGCACCCTCTAGGCTTGGGCGGGCCGATCCCGACCTTAGTCCGGCGAAGTGTGCCTGTGGGTCCGTGAGGTTCACAGCCCGAATGAACGGATTAGTGTCTAGTAGAGACGAAGGGTGCGGGAGGAGAACCCCTGCTGGCTGTGTAGAGCTCTAACTTGATTGCCTGATGAGATCTGGGGAGAGTGAAAATGCTTCTTCTAAATGCTAAAGTGGCTTAGACGCCAGGATGATCAGTAGCAACAGACAGAGCCTCTTGAACCAGCCGGTTCCTGGATTTGATTTTGAATCCTAACAGGTTGGTTGTGGATTCTACCTGATACGTCGGGGGTAGTTGGTCTTCGCCTCGGTTCTCTGCCAGTTTCATTCTACTGAGGTGACATAACTTTACAGTGAGCCTCCCACAGCTTGGGGAGGAAAAGGCAAAGGCAGGTCTGACCTCCCCAGAACTTGGGCTGAATGGAAAGGTCATTGTTACTTGGGCCACAGTCTGAAGGTCTTATGTGTCCTGGATCTCCTACTCAGGCCTTTTGTCCTTCTAGGTCTGTGCTTTTAATAGGACTGTCTCCAAAGTTGATGATTTCTTGGCCAATGAGGCAAAGGGAACCAAAGTGGTGGGTGCTCATTCCCTGAAAGAGATGGTCTCCAAGCTGAAGAAGCCCCGGCGGATCATCCTCCTTGTGAAGGCTGGGCAAGCTGTGGATGATTTCATCGAAAAATTGGTGAGGCCAGCTCTGCTCTCAGCTGCTACCACGATAACAGCTGGTTTTGGTTTCTTCCTTTCTCCTTTTAACTCCAGAGATTGTGTTTTTCCAATTTCTGCTAAATTCTGACCAAATGATTGCTTAACCGTCGCAGTGTTGGTTAACTTGATCGGCAGTTATGAAGTAACTTTGTGCTTTGGTGGTAGTAATTCTGACAATACTAACAGACATTTCAAGAAAAATTCATTAAGGCAGGGCACAGTGGCTCAGGCCTGTAATCCCAGCACTTTGGGAGGCTGGTTCAGATGGATCACTTGAGCCCAGGAGTTCGAGACCAGCCTGGGCAACATGGCGAAACCCTGTTTTTACATAAAATTAAAAAAATTAGCTGGGTATGGTGGTGGAAGCTTATGATCCCAGGTTCAAGACCAGCCTGGCCTGCATGGTGAAACCCCATCTCTACTAAAAATATAAAAATTAGCTGGGTGTTGTGGTGCACACCTGTAATCCCAGTTACTCGGAAGGCTGAAGAATGAGAATCACTTGAACCTGGGAGGCAGAGGTTACAGTGACCTGAGATCGTGCCACTCCAGTCTGGGCAACATAGTGAAACTCTGTCTCAAAAAAAAGGAAAATAAAATCAAGATCTTCTTAGGGAATCCTAGGGAACTGGATGCTTATTTTTGTACCAAACAATTTGTTGGCTTTAGCAGGTGTATCTTTTTTGGAAAAAAAAATGTAGGGGAACCAGTGAAAATAATGTATTTAGATACCCCAAAATAATTCTGTAGTAACAGCTCTGAAAAAACCCAGGCACTACCCATTTAGAAGAAATGTTTTGCTGTAAGCAGTGCAGTGGTACCTCAGGGGAGGCTGAGCATTCCTTTTCTAGAGGAGTGGCTCCTTTTCTAGAGGAGTGGCTCCTTTTCTAGAGGAGTGGCATCAACGGTGAGGTTGTTTCCACAGGAAGAAGGATTTGTAACCAGTGTGCCACTGTTTTTCAAACAAATGACCTAGAAAGGAAGAACACTGAGTTTAGAAAAAGGACATAGTAAATTTTTTGTGTGGCAAGCTGCCTGTGCTCAGTTTTAGACAGAGAAAACTGAAAAATGGTGGATTATTCTTCAGTATAGGAAAATAGTAAGTAATGTTAACTGGAGCCTTGTAGGGAGAAGACTGAGTAATAAATAATAAAGCCCAGCCTGGTTGGTGTGCTGTAGGTAGATATTCATGTTCAAGGCTCTGTCTCTTCCTGATCTCTGAACTGTGGTCATAAAATCATTCATTCATACACTAAAACATTTGATATGTATTTACTGAATCCCCACTCTCTTCTAGACACAGACATTACAGTCAGTGTTTAATCTATTTACTTACTTAAAAATAGAAACGGGGTCTTGCTATGCTGTCCAGGCTGGTCTCAAACTCCTGGGCTCAAGCGATTGGCCTGCCTCAACCTCCCAAAGTGTTGGGATTACAGGTGTGAGGCACTGAGCCCCGTCAGCCCTAAACTTTTAAATAGAGTCCAACTCTAGCCACAGAGAGGATTATTGAAGATTAAATAGGCTGGGTCCATTGGTCCCCTGCCAAGCCAGGAGGATCTTTTGATTTTGAGCCCAGGAGTTTGAGACCAGCCTGGGCAACGAGACCAGCCTGGGCAATGTGGTGAGACTCCATCTCTACAAAAAAAATTTTTAAACTAACTGGGCATTGTGGTTCAAGGAGTTCAAAGTTGCAATGAGTCATGTTCACACCACTGCAGGAGTTCAGGGTTTCATTGAGCCATGTTTGCACTTCTGCATTTCAAGCTGGGCAACAGAATGAGACTCCTTTTAGACTATATTTATTTGGAATAAATTCTTGTTTTAATTTGCCAAGGTATGTTTCATTTCTGGTCCGTCTTAATGCTGGTGTCTGGTTACAGGTACCATTGTTGGACACTGGTGACATTATCATTGATGGAGGAAATTCTGAATATAGGGACACCACAGTAAGTGTTCTTCAGTCCAGATTCTTCCAGGTTCTGAGAACATTCAAAAAAAAGTGTCAGCATTGCATATGTGACAGTAGGGTGAACTGCCCTGTGGTACTGATTTTTGTGAGATTGCTACTGATATAATAGTTCTCAGCCTTTTTTTCTGTTAAGACACACTTGGGGGCTGGGCACGGTGGCTCACGCCTGTAATCCCAGCCCTTTGGGAGGCCGAGGTGGGTGGACCACGAGGTCAAGAGATCGAGACCATCCTGGCTAACACGGTGAAAACCCGTCTCTACTAAAAATACAAAAAATTAGCCTGGCATGGTGGCACGCTACTAGGAAGGCTGAGGCAGGAAAATTGGTTGAACTCGGGAGGCAGAAGGTGCAGTGAGCCGAGTTTGTGCCACTGCACTCCAGCCTGGGCAACAGAGTGAGACTCCATCTGAAAAAAAAAAAAAGACACACTTGGTGGGTGAGATTCTCAGTCACACATACATCTCAGAGGATGAATACTCAGATACAGCGGGCCGAGAATTATGTTTAACTCCTCCCCTTCCTCTTCCAAGTAATCCATGATATGTCAGTCTCTAACTGGTTTAGAACCACTCCTCTAATGGTATCAAACGCTGAGGGAAGTCCTGTGTGCTCTGAAGTACTGAGTGGCATTAAGTTGTATTAAACCTACTCTTAATTGAGTCTTATTCAAGGTCTTTTCCAGTAAAATGCCAATGTGTGTTTGGCTTAATTATTTCACTTTGGGGAAAAGGTATGTATCTTGAATGTCCGTAGTTGTATTGTTTTGTTTTAACTTCTACACATAGGGGAGTAACTTTTCTGAGTCATCAGTTATTCCTAGATTCTTGGGTCATTTCCTGTCAAATGTAGGCTCTCCATACCTATCTTATACTTCCTCTCAGTTATAAGGGAAACATTTTTTGGGAGCATAATGAAACATGGAAGCATAATGAAATTATTTTTCTGTCCTTCAGAGACGGTGCCGAGACCTCAAGGCCAAGGGAATTTTATTTGTGGGGAGCGGAGTCAGTGGTGGAGAGGAAGGGGCCCGGTATGGCCCATCGCTCATGCCAGGAGGGAATAAAGAAGCGTGGTGAGTGCCATCAGCACTGTATCCATCTCTGTACAAGGGAGCTACACTTTGAGAACAAATAAGCCAGGAGCAGTTCTGCCACCCTGATCTCTGTGGTGCCCTGAGGGTGAGACCTAGGAGATGCCGGCAATTTCTTTTATCTCTTTGATATAATATATGTGCACAATCCTCTTTTGCCTTTTTTCTTCTGTTATTTCTATCAAGACTGATACCTAAAGTTCTAAATAGGCTTTTTTTTTTCTTGCCCAGGCAGGAGTGCAGTGGTGAGATCTTAGCTCACTGCAACTGCCGTCTCCTGGGCTCAAGCAATTCTTATTCCTCAGCCTCCCAAGTAGCTGGGACTACAGGTGCATGCCACCATGCCTGGTTAATTTTTTGCCTTTTAGTAGAGACAGGGTTTCACCATGTTACCCTGGGTGGTCTTGAACTCCTGACCTTAGGCGATCTGCCTGCCTTGGCCTCCCAAAGTACAGGGATTACAGGTGTGAGTCACCATGCTCGGCCTCTAAATAGGCTTTAAGGAAGCAGTTTAGATACTGTTCTGTGCAATGTCCAGATGTAGGAATAAGGTCTGCCTCTTTTTGCTGATATGTAGCCCAAAAGTAACTTTATGTAATAATCATGGGTAATAGGCTGGGCATAGTGGCCAATGCCTATAATCCCAGCACTTTGGGAAGCTGAGGTGGGAGGATCATTTGAGCCCAGGAGTTGAAGACTAGCCTGGACAACATAGCGAGATCTTGTTTCTACAAAAAAAAACAAAAAAAAAAA